AATATCATTTGTCGGTGGACATCGACATTAGCCGTAATGTCAACTTGAGAAAAGATAAGAAGATGTAATGACGCGCTTAGATAAACGACTGACGGCCGCTCCACTGATGTGATTTTTTTTCCTTTTAATGACGTCCATTGAGTGGACACAGATTGGCCTTGCCATCTATTCGAAGGTAATGATAATGTGATTCCCCTAGCGATGAAATGGCTCTCCGGCTGACATCTCGTCATCGGGAAGAACTTTCTTCACACGAATGCCGTGACTGACATGGACGGCAGGGTTGATTCATAGTCTCTACCAGAACTCCTTGTGTTGAAGAGAAAAGAGCAGAAGTATATTAATAACTACATTAATTATTTGCCAGAGGAGGTAGCTGACAAAGTTGCAATTGTTACACAAAGTCACGGGTTGCCTTGGCAGCGTATTTGGCCAATTCCCAATACGTCCTACTATTTTCGGACACAACAATGAGTCTGGGAGAGACTAGATGATTCAGGACATGCACGGGTCAAAGATGTCGCCTGGATCAAGTATGTTGCTGATCCATAGCCTGCCCTTCCATTTAGCCTGCAAAATCAAGCAATGAACGATATATTCACATTCTTAGTATACGTTATACGCATATCGAAGGTGCCATGAAACATTCTATATCCAGAGTTACACGGCACTTTTCGCTCCCGTAATTATCGTCCAGTGTTCATCATAAAAACAGCTGAGTTATGAATGCGGCAGCCGGCATAACGACTGTAGTGATAGCTGATGGCCCTTGGCCAGATGTTACAAAACCATATCCGAGCCATCATTAACCAACGGTAATGTAAGGTTGCGGTCATCATCATTAATAAACCATTTACTGTTTAGCCCACGGTATGGATGAAGATGCCTGAAAGCTGTTGACAGATGGCGAAGAGAATCATTCGTCTCGCGGGAAGTAGACACACTGAGTCATCCTCGTGACCATCCACATGTGCTTTATGATTATTTACACCATGTTTCATGGCTGGCACCAAAAGAGCACTGTCGTGCCATACAGACGAAAGGGCTCATTCCCGTGGACTGGGTCCACATCAAAAACAGGAGGTGCCTTGAAATGTTTCCTTTTGGTGTCTGGACTCTGGGGGGTCATTTTAGAGCGCATCTCTTTCTAAGGTTCGCTAGGTAAACGGAAAACCGTTCCCAGTCTTCAATCTTTCACGCCTGCAAGCCCAAACTTCTTCAAACGAAAACTTTGTTATGAATCCTTTCAAAAAGGTTTCCTTCCTCACGACTCCAGCAGCACGACACGTGAGAGGGCAGGCCGTGGTGCGTGGACCATACTGCCCGTAAATCCTGCAGCAAAACGTTAAGGTTTCTGCACTGGCTAATTTGGTGATTTAAATTTGCACTGTTTTACTGGTAAAGAAATGAGAGAGAAGTGGGTTTGTACTGAATATTGGTAGCTAGCAACATAAAGTTCCCCCCAAAAAAATTTGTTACCACATGCATGACGTCATCAAGTTTTATTGCCCTTTTTATGATTTTTTTCAAAGAAAAAATACAGAACTTTGGTAAATCCAAACAACATAAAACTTCGTTTTTGATTTCATAACAATGAAAGCTACAAACGTACGTTTGCGCAAACGAAAATATACTAATAATCTGTAGTTATAGCCAAATCATTGAGTTTTAATTAGGTAGTAAATTACGTTTCCGTATCTACCGAACCACACATGTTCAGCCGTTGCGCAAACGTACGTTTGGAGATTGAACGGTTTTCTTCAAGAATCGTGCGAAAAAAACAACCAGTTACCTTCCTCTTTTCGTAATTATAGAAAATTAAAAGTTGTTATGGCCATAAAATCTGATGATGGGCCGTAAATCCCGTATTTTCGCCGCAAAATTCAACGAAACCACACCAAAATCGGCAGCGAGCAGCCTCCCTACTGGATTGACCTTTTCTGACCCCAAATCAGCTGGTAAAATCTCGCATAGTCTCGCAAAATGCGAGAAACTAACGAGATTGTACGCTTTTGCTGGCTCTTCCCGCGCTGCACTCCCTCCCCCCGGTTGTTTACATTTCCAGGCGTCCGCCAGCGGGGCGCCCCGCCCATTTAAACATGGCGGACATACAGCGCGCCAGCGAAAATGGAGGCATATTGATCACTAAAACGGCAATTGTACGGTCACGATAGGCCAGATTAAGCATGTAAATGGGTCTTCTCTATCGTATGAAGTTGAACTATCTCCTGTAGTATGCTTGACGATTAAAAAATCATTAGTCTGGCGTTAGACTGGCGTTCATGATAAACGTTAGATTTTTTGTGGGGAGAAGCCTTATGTCCTTTACAGTATCCGGTCCCCAAAACCGGTTATCTTTCACACCAGCGGACGCGAAGAGATACTAGTAATTAGAGCCAGGGTGCCAAATCGACGTCGGCGCGGCGTAATTGGCTTCCCTGACCGACGGGGTTTCACTCATTCCCGGTAGGGGATTACTCTCCAAGCAGAGGTTTGGGGTTATTTTTAGCGTGTTTTTAGGCTTTTTATCGGGGTTTCTCTTTTGCACTGAAAAAAAATCAATGCAAAAGAGAAACCTCTGCTTGAAGAGTAGTATGGGATGCTTTATACGATAGGGGATAGCAAGGACCACTGGAAGAATAGCAATGTGAACCCAAATAAAGACTGAAATGCCTGTTGTACAATATATATTTTCTGTATGTAGTTTGCTACATTAATTGAACATATACATATTATATTCTGTAAGTAACATGACTTTATCTTTGTTGTGTAATAGATCTTAGTTGTATAAGACCATATGAAAGTCCCTGTACTTTTGTCATTCAATGAATGAAGACCTTTATTGTACATTTTTGCCCCACTGGGCTATTAAAGCCCAGGTCAAAAGATTACAACCATATACAAACAAATACATCAATAAAGAATATAGGAGGTGGAGCTCTGCCCATGCTTTGCTGACATGCCACGTGTGCTCACGATCACCTCCCCCTAGTTTGTTTACAACGCGACGCGATCCTGTAACTCAATCCGCTCACCCGACCTTTCAACATGGCTGCCCCTTCGCCACGTCAGGGCGTGAGCCCGGCGTTCGAAAACCCTCCGGCCATTGAGGAAGAGGACAAGGATACGCCAAAACAATTGGGATTGGTTCATAAACGTCTATCAAAGAAGGCTAGACTGCGCAGAGCTGCGAGTACTCGCGGGAAAAAGGGAGCTGCCACCCGGGGCACCGGTCGCCTGAGCAGGTCTTCCCGCACACTGGAAGTGGTGCCCGCTGGTTTTCGAGAGGAACTGGAAGATTACTCCCACCCGTCAAGACCGTCGGCGAGACCCATTTGGGTGAGTCCCGGAGGATCTAAATACAGAACATTTACGATGAGGAAGAAACTGGCGGCCAAGGGAATGGACTTGGATGACATCGACACACCTGCATGTTCTTCGCGTTCACGCACAGACGGCGAAAATGTCCAGTCAAGTCGAAAGCTCGACTTTTCAAGTGCAGAGAACAATGTACAGAAGAGGGAACCCATTGTTGTAGAAGACGGATACTATGTGGGTCAGGTATGCCAACTTCAAACTTTTGTCGACAACATCAACAGTAACTTTAAGTGCCGAACGAAAGACTGTAATGGAATTTTAGTTCCCCTACACTTTGTGAAAGTTGGTCTTGGAGGCGGGCTGAGGGTTGTGTACAGTTGTAGCGGCTGTGCGATGCCTGGTATCAATTTTGATTCCTCAACTTTAGTGGAATCATCTCGCCGGTACCAGGTTTCCCTGGCACTCTGTCTGTCGATGCTTGTTTCAGGTAACACCTACCAGGGTTACGACAAGGCACTTGGTCAGGGATTAGGGTTGGAGACAATCACTAAAAATAACTTCTACACCTTGATTCGGGATGTTTACCCCCTGACAAGAGCCCTGGTCAAAGAACACTGTCAGGCGGCGAAAGAACAAATGAGGAAAATCCCAGATAACGACTTAGGTAGTTCTAAGCGAGCAGTTACTCAGGCCGATGGAACCTGGGGAACCAGGGGGTTCCACAGCAAAAATTGCACAGTGACAATCCGCAACGCCATGAATAATTCGTTGCTATATGTATGCCACCTCTGCATGAAGGGGAGGGACACGATATCGTCAGAGGAGTTCCCACTTTTCGAGGGCACAGCCAAAAGCGGTGAGGGGATTGGTTTAGAAATGTTGTGGGCGCAGGCAGTCAAAGACGGCATCCATCCCAGTGTTCACTGGCAAGACGGAGATAGCACTGCTATGAAGTCATTCAGGGCACATTTCCCCGATGAAAAACACAAGGTGATGCTGTGCTCCGGCCATGTTGCGAGGTCCCACCAAAACGTGTTGACTGACCTAAAAAATAAAAAGACAGCTACAAAAATGTACAAGTCGAAACACCAAGAGAAATTCCCACAGGTCAATTCTGTCAAGTGCAACTGTGAGGGTAAAAGCCATCGAAAGGGATGCGGCTGTATCAATGACGCATTCATAAGACAAGCCAGGATCAATTTCTTCTGTTGCGTAGTCCAAGCGGGGAAAGAACCAGACGAGCTCAGTAACAGACTCAAAAACCTGGGAAAGTACCACGCCCGTGATATCCACAAGTGGAAACACCCCACCACTAAGAAGAAGACAGGGTGCGACTTCCATCCGGCCAAGACCTGCTCTTGTGAGAAGTGCAAGAAAAAAGGTAAAAACCAGGAGCCCCTTTGCGGCAAGGGCGAACTGTACAAATCTAAGAATGCAATCACCTGTCCACTACACAGCCTTTTCTATGAAGTCGAGACGGCACGGCGAGCGGAGCAGGCGAACGACATCATTCACCCGGAGCTAGGACGGGGAAACTCAAACCTCCCGGAAGCGTCACACAATGTGTTGCTGAGATTCCGATCGAAAGACGTCTTTTTGAGTAGACTGCATTATATTGTAAAGACGGACATGGGTCTTCTACAGAGCTGCGTCAGCTGGGAGCAAGATACACAACCATTTGGCCCAGAGTTCCTCCACTGGTCCGTCGAACTGTACAAGCGCATGAAACTGCCCATACCACCAGGTATGGTTCGTAAGGTACAGAAGGCACTGAGTGAGCGACGTAAAGCTTTGGAAAAAGCGAGGACAGAGGAGAAGAAAGCCCGTCGTATTGCCCTCAAAGTGAGTTCAAAACCTCTGGGTATTTCTATTGATATTATAGACGGCAATGCCCAATTTGGTAATATATATGATATAGTAAGGAATGGAGTGACCAAGGTAAAAATCTGGATGACGTATGCAGCTTTTGAGATAACTTTCAAGTGCAAGTATTATTCAGAGTCTACTCTACAAACTCTGTTTCCTTATAGCACAATGTTGCTTTGAATTACAGGCAGCTCGTGCGTTGGACAGTGAGGAGAGGAAGCAATGGACCAAGAAAAGAGCCATCCAGCACAGCTATGGGACTGCAGATGCCGAGGCAGACAGTGATGGTGAAGTGCATTCAGGTAAAGCATTGATGTGTTTTTGTATGTTGAATAAAGACAGTCCTAGTCCTAGTTGATGAATTCATTTTAAAATACTACTGACAACAGTTTTTCATCCTTCTGAAAGGTTAGCTTTGTTCAACGTGCACACTTTCGTGTGGTGGGCATACTTTCTTGTTGTTTAGATTTTTGTACATTTCTTCATTGCAGAGGAGGAGGAGGGTGCCAGGGCTACTCTGGTAAAAGACAGCCAGCTCATCGTAAGGGAAGACAGGAGAGTGGGTAGAGTTGTGGGTTTGGGTCCGCCAGTCCAAACTACCGGGAACAGCGCTAGCAGAAAACGAAAGAGCCGTGATCCCCCCAAGCAACCCAGAAGGAAAGCAAGAAAACAAGAGGCAGGCCTGATTCAATAAGGTATAGATTGCTCTTATAGTATATATATATACATGTACTAGTATAAGAAACAGAAAATGCTAACTGCGCGTTGAGTTGTTTGAGGGCCTGCAAGCCCTTTTTCGTAAAGCGTAATCAGGCCGTTTTAGACTTCGTAATTCGTAGGCAGCCTCCGCAAAAATCAGCGTAATTCGTAATTGGACATTAGCCGCAAATCGTAAAGTCGCAATCAGGTCTCGTAATAGACGGCGAAAATTTTGCGTAATTCGTAATAGACGGCGAAAATTTTGCGTAATTCGTAATCACTACCCCCCTTGCAGGCCCTCTTGTTTATGATCTGAGGTGCTAATCTAATCCCTTTGTTCCGAACACTTGGCAACCCTAGCTGCCACGCGACCACTCGGCATCTCCAGTCACAGCAGTTATGTAAACATGAATACCGAACTGTGCGGTAGAAATAAATGTAAAATACTGTATATCTGAGCTGTGGCCTCTGTTTTCTGTACAGAGATTGTTTATATACTAGTATAAGAAAGAGAAACTGCCCATGTCAGTGTATGTATTTTGTATGTTTGTTTGAAATTGGCAGTAAGAGTATGTGGACCACTCGAGTGACATTTCCAGCAGTGACGTAAACAAGATGTAATGTGCCAGACTTTTCTTGACAAGATGTAATGTGCCAGACTTTTCTTGACAAGATCTTGAAATGTAAACAGAAATTTTACAGGGCACGTTTCTGATCGAACTGTGCGGTAGAAATAAATGTAAATACTGTATCTTTGAGTTGTGGCCTCTATATATTCTGTACTTGTACGAATGCAGACTCACTATGGTAAGAATTCATTCACCGACAAGTGGCGTCTATGTTTTCTGTACAGATCGTTCATATACTAGAATAAGAGAAACTGCCCATGTCAGTTCATGTTTTTCGTATGTTTCTTTGAAATGGGAAGTAAGTGTATGTGGAACAGTACCATCATTTTATATTCTAGACAGACATAAGTTTTTCTCAGATCAGGCTTATGCTTAGTTATGGATCGAAAATGATCAGTAAACGTTTCCGATTTAGCACGCCTGGTAAAAGCACAAGCCAGGCCTGGAATTTGTGAAAACAGGCTGTTCCCAGCAGGCTTGACTTGCAAAGCCATAAAAGAGCTTACTGAGGAGTTAGCGCCTATCTGAAACTTATTAGATCATCGATTGACATCAGAGGCGCTCTTCCATTTTCACACATTCTGTGGCAGTCAGTAGATAAGAAAAGTGCTGAGCCTTGCTGGGTATCGGTGATTTATGGCCTAAACCACGAGGTGCTAATCGACTACCTAATGTGTCGGCTTCATCTGCGAGAAATTTCGAAGTGACCTTGTTACCAATGAGTGATTTCGGTGGCAACTATTACAGTGTTTCTCACATTTTTTCTTTTTATTTATCCATGATTAATAAAAGAGCTTGAGATCAGACATAGAAAATAGAAAAGTCATAGAAAAGTCACTTCAACAATACACAAACAAACAAATCTGCTGCGCATTTAGATGAAAGACAAAACCGGATGAAGCCATTTGTCAATTTGACAATAATAATGGTGTTTTAACAGTGACCATGTGGGGACTGTTGTGACAGTCTTTCGTTATCAGAAGCTTGATCACAGAACGCAATTTCACAGCGCATGCGTGATGTTTTCGCCTGAGTTTTTAGTCATATCGTCAGTGACTTCGGACAGACCACCTCGTATCAACAGTGCTGTCGCATCCTTCCATCCAACCTCCTTGTTCCAACGCAACAATGGCCGACCTTGAGAATGCAATGGCGGCGCTAGAACTACTTTTCGAGCAGAGCGGGTATGTACAATATTAGGTTTTTATTCAGAAGTAGAAGCCTATACGTGTATTGTTTAGTTTGAGCAGTAATTGAAAAAAGTTTGCCCTGTTCCCGCAGCCTCCTGTCAGGCGTTCCTGGATCGGTGTTTTTTTTTTGGGGGGGGGGTATTTTCTGACCAAACCGTAGATCGCACACAATAGAAGCTCCGGCTGGCAAGCCTACATATATCTCCGTGGAGCTTCTATTGCGTGCGATCTACGTTTGATCAGAAAATACCCCCCTCCCCCCAAAAAAGGGGGCTGTTCCCGCACAGAATAGCGTTGGTGAAAATGGCCCAATGTCGTGTGTTACTGCATGTATCGATATTTTTGGGCTGGACTTCGGCAGCTAGTGCAATTTTCATAGTTGATGGAGTTGACAGTCGTAGTGCTCCAAGAAGTCTGATGTATGAAAGAGCTAGAGAATGTGGGATCTAATGACCGCTAGTAAAGTAGGTCAAAAGACGTTTAGAAAAATGTGTGGTAGAAATGTAAACAGACCTGTCTGACACGGCTTCTCTATATTCTGAAGTTTAACTGTGCAGTAGAAACAAGTTTTGTGATACGTTTTTGTGCTTTTTCGTCTTTTATATCATACTTTTCGTTCCGCAAGACTGCCCGGCCGGTCCTGGTTTGTAAACGTGACCTCCGCATTATCGTGTCCTTGCAGCAAATGTAGCTTCTTGGTTAGGAAATCGGTTCTCACACATCCTTGTGTGGTATAACATGTCTTTTTCCCCCGGCGATTTCCAGCCTCACCCTGCCAGCTGGCCTGCGGCACATCCTCCTCCATCTGCCCCACACAGCTCCGGCAAACTCGAGCCGGCCGGACTGGGGGCCACGGCGCAGGCTGGCGGCTGCCCTCTTCCGATGGCTCTGGGTGAGTGAACGTCGTTAGTACGTTGAGCTGGGAGGGGGAGAACTGTTATATATTTTAGAGACCCTGAGACAGTATGCCCCATCCATGATAGTCGAGATACCAGGCTACACTAGTTTGTTCTCGAGCAAACGCAAGAAAATTATCATCCCATGAAGGTCAGCTACATAATTCCAAATAATAATTTGTGTGTTGAGCAAAAAATCCTGGATAGGTTTTACTGGTAGTTTTGACGATAAAAAGTTCTGTAACAATGCGCATGGTGTTCACCCAATCTGATCTATGCTGGTTTCTTTTCTAGTATGGATCCGACAGGACGTGGGGGCGGACTCCGGGCCCCGGGGAGGGACACACCCACCTATGTCTACCCGGAAGAGGTTAGGTGGGTCATGCGGGCTCGATTCCCCGACGACCCGGTCCGCCTGTACGACGGGCAAGTTGAGAAGCAGCGGGCAGTACGTATATAAATTTGTATAAACTTTCTAAAAGTTGTGTCTAACCTTGTGACGGTAAATCTGAAGATAACTTGTGACTCCCCTCCTGGCTGGGAAGGCATCGTCTCGATCTGGAACCAAACTTTCTAGAAGTTCAGTCTAACTAGCATTTGATATACTATACATCTGTCTAACTGCATTTGACATATACTATACATTTGTCTTCATGCATTTGATATACTATACATCTGTCTAACTGCATTTGATATACATGTACTATACATTTGTCTCTATGCATTTGATAAGCATTTGTAGTAATACAGAACGTTGTGGTGGCATTTGAATCTCTAGACCAGTTATTCCTGGATGGAATTTCCTACATAAACTCATTATACATACACATAACAGTTATGTGAGAGTATATAAGGAAGAAAGTTATGCGACAGAAATATATAGTGCATCTAAGAACATTTTAAACGGGTTTTGTCATATGCCTGTATTACAGAATTTGGTACTAGTAATCTGTGCAGATTAGTAAGTTGCTGTATTGTACAAACATTTTTTTCCATTCCTGTGCAGGTCTACTTCGTTGATGTCGTAGATCTGGCCACGGCCACCTGGCCGTCCTGCCGCTGCGGGAGCGCCACTGGAACTTCCGGGGGGCCTGCCCGCCGCGGACGCCGGACCTCCCGCGCCACACCTTACCCCCACAAGCGTGGCCAGTAGCCGTAAAACTCTCGTAAAAAAACTGTGCCTTTTTGGAATGGTAAGCCATGGTAGGATGACAGTTATGGCGGTTTGGTCTACTCTCCAAGCAGAGGTTTGGGTTTTGGGTGTATTTTTAGCGTGTTTTTAGGCTTTTTTATAGGGGTTTCTCTTTTGCTCTGAATTTTTTTCCTGTTGGGTTTGGTAGGAAAAAAA